TAAAACAAATGAAATCACCATTATGTGAATAATATCCTTTAAAAATTTTATAAATGAAACTATGATAGTTTTATTTTCATTTTCAATTTTACTTCAGAGTCACATGTATGTACCCAAAGAGCCACATGTGGCTCACGAGCCGCAGTTTGCAGACCCCTGTTCTAATGCAACCAAAGAAAACCTCTGGTCGGGGGAGACAATAGATGCAGGTATGGATTCTATATTTCCATCAGTTTCAGAGATATTATGAAGTTCCCTTTAAGATTAAAAATCTAAACTGGCAAATAATCCATTTTTATTTTATTTAGAAAAACTGGCCCTACACTGTTTTGTGGTTAATAGTTTTGTAGTTCATTAGTTTGTTTCATCCTAGTTCAGAGTCTTTTTTTTTACCTGAGGTCATTATTTTCCCAGAAAGTTATTATACTTTTCATGAAAATATCTAAGGTTTGATTGATGAACTACTAGTATTTTAATTTTACGAACAATTTTTGAGCGAAGTTTGAAAAGAGAAATTACACTAGTGGAAATGACTATACAAGTATTCTCCAAACTCAGTTTCAGAGTATAAGGAAGGGCAGCTTAAACACACATATGCACGTCTATACTCTTCTCTTCAGAAAATCTCGCTGCAACTTGAGCTTACTCTAGGTGGCAAAAAGGCTATTTTCCATGCTGATAGCAGCCCAGAACTTTGGGCTTCCTGCAGGGTTGGCTGGTTTTAACTCACCGCAATACGGTATTTTTTCCTTTTAAACTCAAACAAAGACACGTGGACTCCTCTGTGAACCTTTTTAGGATATTTTCCAGATTCTCTCCCTTGAATGAAACATACTGGCCGCAGTCAGATAGGAAACAATCAAGCTGCGCAGTGGCCAACCACTTTATATGGGGTGTACCCTCTCAATCTGCCTACAGCCATTTTCTGTCCATGTAGAATCACCGTTTACTTAACATGCTTGTATAGCAGGTCCTCAGGTAATATCTTCACATTCAACATGTGTTATTCAACTTATAATGTTGACGAGATGCCACAGGAACTTAATTCTTATTTACATCAATTAGCTTGCAGTGAAATTGGTTTTCTTATACATCGTTTTGCTTAAAGTCACAGAATCTATCAGTGATGTTATGGGAGGACTTATTGTACATATTTAGGTCTGCGACGCCTGAATTCCTCAGATTAGTAGTCAAAGTCCCCACTATCTAGCCCCATTCTATTTTTCTAAATTTTTCTCTTGTTACACCCTCCAAGATATTCAACTTTAAGGCTGAAACCATACCAAATTATTCCCTCATTGCCATATATAACACACACCTTCCAGTTACTATATTTTTTTTATCAAAGTGCATCACTTAAGTCCTAATCTATGTCACTTTGTAATTTTCAGAAGTACTATGTGATATTATAATTTTCAGGAAAAAAAACAACTTCTGTGTAACATTTATTATGTGCTACATTCTCAGCCCGGGATCTCAGATTTAAAGAAGGGAGAAGGCTTATATTTTTTGAAGGACTATTTATTATACACCAGGCACTATTCTAGATGTCTTTATTTAGTACCCACAACAAACCTGATACATAAATATTATCTGTAATTTATAGGCACAGTAATGAAACTCAGAATGGCTGACTGCATGACTAACAGTTGGTTGAAGGAATTTAAATCTCAAGGGCCTATTCTCTCTGCAAACCCCTCAGCCTTTTAATGATTATAAAACCCTCTAAATCATATCTATCAGACTTAGATATATAAATATGTAAACAGATGACTATCAGCTATGACATGAAATAGTTCACCAAGCATTGCCAAGAAAGAGCAAATACATACATTTCTGAACACACCTGATTCTGTTACTTTATTGAGCTTATAATTTAGTCCATTAACACTTAACATCTTCAACCTACTTTCCATTAGAGTGATGAAGGCAGGTATATATTCCACAGGGAAGAGAGAAGTAGGTAGTTCTCTGAAAAATGCTTTCAACATCACTGCAGCTTCTCTATGGCACATTTTGTCCCATTTAAATTTATCAGCATTAAATCTGGCATCCAGTTCTTCACGGTATTGCTGCAAATCAAGGAAAACAGTCAATATTTAATGAGCTGTAATCACCTGACCCACTTTGAAAACTGTCATTACACAAACTATTTTTGTGAACAGATTGAAAAGCCAATATCTACTAAGCCTAACTTTTTTTTTTTTTTAAGCTGAGCCATCCTGCCACCTCTTGGCAGCTCAGCAGCAGCTCAGCTGGGGCCATGAATCAAACCGGTGACCCTGTTGTTCAGAGCTCACACTCTTGAGTGAACTCTTAACCAACTGAGCCACTCAGCCAGCCCTAAGCCTAACTTTTTTCAACATGATTAATGAATTGAAATAATTATTTTTAAGTGAATGTTTAAAAGTGTTTTTCTAAAATCTTTTTAGCATAATGTTAATCTTGAAATCATTTGCTAATTTTATACAAACATAAAAGTTCTTTACTCAGATCATAGTTTCATTTATGTGGTTTTGGCAGAATACCACCTATCCCCACATGGCAATGCACTGTTAGATTTTGACAAAGCCTCCATTTCCCTGTTTCCTTTTGCCATCTATTTCTAAATTAGATCATGAATGTGTGCCTCTCAGCGAATTCATACCCAGAATGAGAAATACCCAAATAAAGGAACTCTGACCTCACTGCAACATGCAGACTAACTGACATCTTCCTGGAGTAGTTATAACAAAGTTTATGCCAAGACATACACATGTCTTGCACATGTTTGCATGCTTGTCCAATCATTCATAAAGCTTAGAACACTGTGTAATACTTAAGAAAAAATCACTAAGCCTCTATAAATTCTACTTGGGTTATACATTTTACATTATCAATTCATTTGATTATCAGTGCCATCCATTCTCTGTTTCTTTTTCGAAGTCAAACTCATTTTCTACTGCTCCCACAGAGTTTGCCTATTAATACCAGGCAGTTATAGTCAGTTTCCCTACTGACACTAACTGCTCCAAAAGATACTTAGAAAGGTAACATTGAAAACTCTCAGTTTCTTTAAGGCCTCTGCTTTATTCTCATGAGAAGCCGAATTCTTCCAGCCTTAAATATGCATAGCCAGAGTCAATTTCCAAGGAGCAGCTCATTAACCAAACCAGAAATAAATGCACTGATGGCTCCCAGAGCCTGCAAAATGGGGGTACCTTGGCAGGACATGTCTCTTACAGAAAGACAGACATGATTTTGAGCCATCCTCTGATGACATCAAAAGGGGATTTTCTTTCTGTTCTTGAGAAATTCTCAATACAATAGGAATAATACAGTTAATCAATCAACCCTGTGCTGATACACTTTGTAAAGCATTGAAGCATACATATAAAACCCTCTTGGAATAAAAGAGATCAGGTTCTAGGAAGAGGATACATGAGATCCATTCTTTGCCTTTAGACATTTTGTAGTTCAGTGGATAGAGTTATTATGAACTCATAATGCTAATTTAGGATGTTAAATACTGTAAGAAAAATCATGTATTGGATACTAAGCAGTCATGAAATAGAATCAAACTCTGCTGTAGCAAAGTCTTGAGGACTAGTGAGGAGTTTGCCAGGGGAAGAGGAAATAGAAAGGTGTCCTGGACAGAAGAAACTGCTCAAGCAGTGACACAAGAGCAAGGATACACAGTGGGTCTAGGGAACTCCAATTAGTTCAGTATGGCTGGCGCATCATGGGCAAGGAGGACAGCAAAGACAGAGATGACACTGAGGAGCAGACCAAAGTCACACTCCTAAGGTGACTCCACTTCATTTTGTAGACAATGAGGCCACATGGGACATTTCCAAGCAAGAGAATGACAAGGTGGCATTTACCTTTTCTGACAGCCAGATGCAAAAGTGATTTGGAGGAGTGTGGTGCTTGGCACTGGTTAAAGAGCAGGCCAGTATCAAGGAAACCTGCTATTGGGCAATGGCACCATTTCTGGTGATGGATAATCGAGGACTAACCTGGAAAAGCAGTTGTAAGATAGAAAGAAGAGGTCATTTAAAAAATGCCATTGAGGGAAAATTCTCAAGAATCAGTGATGACTCTAGAGCTGCTCTCTAGGGACATAGACTAAGGACGCCATCTTGGTGCTTTCCATTTGCTTTGCTCCAGTGTGCCAGTATCTCCCAGAAAAGAGCTTATACACTAGTCTAGAGACTCAATTATTCCAACTGATGGCAAAGGGATACCGCCAGATCACCTGACCAGGAGGGCTTAAGCTTGCAGTCCCACAGTACATATTTGCATGCTTTTAAAAGCTGTTCCCTGAGTACTTGGATGAGCACAAAGGTTACAGAGATGACAAAGAGCTGGGGCAAGATTGAACGACATGGTTCATCTCCCACACAAGGCCACTCCTTAAAGACTGGGAGAGTTGTTTCATCTACTGTATAGAAACGAGAACAGAGAGACAAGAAAAATGAAGAAACAAAGGAACATGTTCCAAATGAAAAAACAAGATAAAACTTCAGAAATAAACCTTAATAAAACAAAGATAAGTAATATAGCTGATAAAGAGTTCAAAATAATGGTCATAATATGGTCACCAAACTGGGTAGAAGACTGGATGGACACAGTAAGAACTTCAACAAAGAGATGGAAAATATAAGAAAATATCAAACAGAAGTCATATAGCTGAAGAATGTAATAATTGAAAAATATGCTAGAGGGGTTCAATAGCAGACAAGCTGAAGCAGAAGAAAGGTTCTGTCAACTTGAAGATATAGCAATGTCATTCACCTAATCAGAGTATCAAAAAGAAAAGAGTGGAAAAAAGTGAATATAGCTTAAGGGGCATTTGTGACAACATGAAACAGACTAACATTTGCATGATAGGTGTCCCAGAGAAATGGGCAGAAATCTTGTTTTAAAATATAATGGCAGAAAATTTCCCTAACATGGTGAAGGAAACAGACATCCAGATCGAGGAAGCCTAGAAGATTCCAGAAAAGATAAACCCAAAGAGACTGATATTAAGAAAGATTACAATTAAAATGTCAAAATTTAAGGACACGAAGATAATATTAAAAATGAGAGAAAACAACCTGTTATTAATACATACAAGGGCTACCCAACAAGACCATCAACAGATTTTTCAGCGGGAACTTTATAGATCAGAAGGGAGTGGCGTGATATAGTCAAAGTGCTAAGAAAAAAACCTTCCAATCAAGAATGCTCTACCCAACAAAGTTATCATCCAGAATTGAAGGAGAGATAGAGTTTTCCAGACAAGCAAATGCTAAAGGAGTTCATCACCACTAACAGGGCCTTATCATAAATGTTAAAGGGACTTTTTTAAGCTGAAAAAATAGGGCACTAATTAGTAACAATAAAACCTGTTAAAGAATAAACCTCCCTGGAAAGGTAAATATATAGTAAAGGTAACAGATTAATCACTTATAAAGCTAGTATGAAGGTTAGAAGACAAAAATAGTAAAAATAACTATGATTGAAACAATTAGTTTAGAGATACACAAGATAAAATACGTAACTTGTGACATCAAAAACATAAAACATGTGGTGGGGTAGAGTAAAAATATTGAGTCTTAGAATGAAACCAAACTTAAGTTGTCAAATTAAAATAGACACTTACAAAACACCCCATAAATAACAAAATGGCAGTAAGCACATACATATCAATAATTACTCTAAATGTAAATAGACAAAATTCTCTAATAAAAATACTCAGAGAGTTTGAATGAATAAAAAAAAACAACAAGGCCCATCTATATGTTGCCTATGAGAGACTCATTTTAGATGTAAGAACACACAGAAACTGAAAGTGAAGATATGGAAAAAGATATTCCATGCAAATAAAAACAAAAAGAAAGGTGGAGTAACTATACTTCCATAAGATAAAACAAACTTTAAAACAAAGTGTAGTAAGAGACAAAGTGTAGTAAGAGACAAATGTGGGCATTACATAATGATAAGGGGTCCATCCAACAATAGGATAAAACATTTGTAAATATGGACTCAAAATAGAAGCACCTAAATATATAAAGCAACTATTAACAGCCCTAAAGCAAGAAATAGACAACAATTACAATAATAGTAGGTGATTTTAATATCCCACTTACATCAATGGATAGATCATTAAGACAGTAAATTAATAAGGAAACATCAGCCTTACATTACACATTAGGTCAGATGAAGTTAATCATATACAGATATATACAAAATATTCCATCCAAAAGCAACAGTGTGCACATTTTGTTCAAGTGTTCCAGGATATGTTAGACCACATAACAAGTCTTAGTACATTTAAGAGGTTTGAAATCATGTAATGCATCTTTTCTGACCACAATGCTATGAAACTATATATTAATTGCACAAAGAAAACTAGAAAATTAATGAATATGTGGAGATTAAACAACATGCTACTGAGCAACCCATGGGTCAAAGAAGAAATCAAAGGAGAAATAAAAAAAATACCTTGAGGAAAACAAAAATGGAAATATAACATACCAAAATTTGCAAGATGCAGCAAAAGCCGTTTTAAGAGGGAAATTCATAGCAACAAATGTCTACCTCAAAAAACCAGAAAAATGTCAAATAAACAACCTAACTTTATACCTCAAAGAATTAGAAAAAAAAAGGACAAATGAAGCCCAAAGTTTGTAGAAGGAAGGAAGATTAGAGCAGAAATAAATGAAATAGAGATTAAAAAGACAGTAGAGATCAATGAAACCAAGAGCTGTTTTTTTTTGAAAAGATAACAAAATTGACAAGCATTTATCTAGACTCACCAAGAAAAAGGAGAGAAGAGGACTCAAATAAATACTACACTTGATCTTAGCCAAAAGGCCGAGAAGCAATAGAGGACTCAAATAAATAAAACATCAGAAATGAAAGAGAAGATATTGTAACATATACCACTGAAAAACAAAGGAACATAAGGGACTACTATGAACAATTATATGCTAAAAGTTGTACAACCTAAATTCCTAGAAACATACAACCTACCAAGTCTGAATCATGATGAAATAGAAAATCTGAACAGACTGATTACTCAGACCAGATGGCATCAATGGTG